CCCCCCCCGGCCCCTCCCCCATCACACCTGCTATGGCCGCGAATGAAGCATGCGCTCCAGGCTTCGGGCTGCGCACGGACAGCCCCCCCCCCTGGCAGCCCCGGCTGGCCTCAGCAGCCTCCCCGAGTGGCCCCCGCTGGGCTCGGCAGGCCCCCCGAGCAGTCTGGGGCGGTCTCAGCATCCCGACCCCGGGGCGCCCGCCGCGGAGCGCCCCCGGGGACGCCGCCGGCGGCGGCGCCAGGGTGTCGAGACCGCTCCGGGCTACTCGGGGGGCCTGGTGAGGCCAGCTGGGGCTACTCGGAAGTCGGGCCTGTCCCTCTACAGGAGGAGTATTCAATAAGATGGTAAAAAGAATAGTCTGGGGACGATCTGTTGACCATTGTTGGATATTTTTGGTATTTTTGTGGTATTTCGTTTTATGTAATCGCTTCGCTCATTCCGCTGGCCCATACTGCGCACCGCGGTGGCCTGGCCGAGAGGTCGTCGGCAGTGCGGAGCTGCAGGGAGCGGCGGCCCCAAAACGTTTCCAGAGGCTCTCAAGAGGGCTTCAAAACGGCTTCAGAGCGCCTCAGGACAGCCCAAGAGAGTCCCAAGACGGCCCAAGGAGGGCCTCACAAAGTCTCAGAGCTTCCCAGGAGAGGCGCAAGGAGGCCACAGGAGGCTCCCAAGAGGGCCCCAAGAGTGCCCCAAGCAGGCCCAAGCCCCCCAAGACGGACCCAGAGAGCCCTGGGACGGCTCCAGAGGGCCCGAAAACGGCCGTGAAGATTCTGAAGAAGCCCCAGCGAGGCTTTCAAAGATGCATCCAAGAGCTGTTTACGAGCTCTGATCAACAAAGCCCTGAAGAGCGCACAGTGACGTAAAAAACTTTGAACACTTGGTCGTGGAGAAGGTGCCTCCGTGGGGTTTCTTGGGAGCCTCTTCGAAGCTTCTTGGGAGCCTCTGGGGGGCCTCTTTGGGCCTCTTGAGGGCCTTTTTGGGGCCTCCGTGGGCCTCTTGAAGGCGTGTTGGCGGCCTCTTGGAGCCTCCTGGGGACCTCTCCGGGCCAAGAGCTCGAAATGTCCGTTCGGGTGCCCCATCTGGGCTCGCTTTTAGAGCCGTCTTGGAGGCGTCTTGGGCCATCTTGGAGGTCTCTGGGACTGTCTTGGGGCCCTCTTGGGCCCTCTTGGGCTTATCTTGGTGGCTTGTTGGACCGTCTTGGGGCGATCTTGGGGGCCTCTTGGGCACGTTTGGACGCTGTGAACTGCAGACGTCGTATATGCGAAAAGTGTATATTTACCCTAGGGCATGGGACGATTTTTGCTTGTTGGAGCCCTCTTGGAGAGCCTCTTGAGACTCTCTTGGGGCTTCTCGGCGGCCTCGAGGGCCGTATGAAGGCCATCTTGGGCGTCTTGGACCGCTCGTTCGGTGACTCGGAGCGCTTTTGGGCTGTCTTGGAGGCCTCTTGGGGTCCTCTTGGCGCGCTCAGGGGGGCCTCGGAGACCGCACCCAGGAGGAAAACCATCTCTGAGTAAAGGGTGGCCGGGCGGCGGTCGGGGTACTTTTCGCCTGGGGACCCCCAGGGGCCGCCCCGCGCGCGCGAAGTAGAAATATTGTTAACCAGTTGCCGGAGATCTTAGCACGCCTCTGGCCCGTCGGGGCGGCGAATTTTCCGTCCCACATCCGCCTGTCGGGGGACAGGCCCGACCTGAGGCTACTCTGGGGGCCCGCTGAGGCCAGCTGGGACTGCCTGGGGGGCTGCCTGGGGGGCTGCCTGTGCGCCCTCCCTTTCGCCCAGCGGATGATGGCGTGACTCTCCGCTGGGACCGCGCTGCCCTCGCCCTCGGCAGCTGGCACCGGCCGCGCACCTTCCAGTGCACCGGTTTTCGGGTGCCGGAGGCCGCCTGCGCACTCCTCGTGGTGCAGGTTATCTGCGCCCGACGCCTCCCCCCCTGCATTCCCCCTCCGCGGCCGCCCTCTTCTCCTCTCCTCGGGTCTACAACCAGGCCGCGCAGTAAGAGCGAGCAAGTTTCCGAGGCTGCGCTCGCATCCTTCCCCTTCGGCCCATCCCCGGCCGCTTTCGCCGGCCGCGCCCCTCTCGAAAAGTGTCGACATGGCCTTCCAAGGCCCTGGCATCGTCATCGTGCGTGCTTTTTGTGCGACTCGACTGCATTGCGCCCCCCTCCTGCCTGGCGCGGCCCGCCGCTGACCAGCGACAAGTCTCGCGGCGCCCGCCGCGCGTGCAGCACGGGAGCCGCCTGCGGCCCACGACCCTTTTTTTCGATGTCGCCCCAGAGCTGGTTTGAGGTGGCTGCAGATCGTGGAGGGGGGCGGGGGGGTGACGACTTAGAGCGGAAGGATGGGCCGAGGCTCGCTGAGGGGCACTTCTTCCTATCCATCCTCTTTCCTCTCCGCTTTTGCTTCTCCTACTCCTCTTCACTTTCACCATGCGGAAGCTGTCGCCATCTGGACTACGCAACCTGAGCAGAAGAGATCCAGAGATGTCTTGGCTCGAGCTCCTCGG